AATGTTTGTGAGAATTGGGCCAATGGGTAGTTAGTCCTTGCTGACAAACAAAACATTTATAATAAATAATGCATTAAAATAGCTGAAAGTAACTAAATTAACATTTAAAAAGATCACACAAAAATGTGCAAAACAATCTGCGAACCTCGCAAAATGATAAAGATTATGCTTATGTATTTTTTACGATTAAAAAAACAATCTTGTGAAAACGCCAACGACGTGTGGAAGTATATGTAACATAAAATAATATACACAAGTATACAAGTTAAAATACTACTTATACTAAAGTAAACGTCACATCTCACTACAGGAACTATTCATGAAGAAAGAAAAACATGTATCCAACGGTCTTTACTGGTCTTTAACGTTCTTTAACGTTCTTTAACAGTCTTTACTGGTCTTTACTGGTCGTTACTGTTCTTTAACGTTCTTTAATGGTCTTTAACGGTCTTTACTGGTCTTTACTGGTCTTTAAAGTTCTTTAATGGTCTTTAAAATTCTTTAATGGTCTTTAACATTCTTTTCTGATCTTTACTGGTCTTTAACGTTCTTAAATGGTCTTTACTTGTCATTACTGGTCTTTACTGGCTTTAACGGTCTTTACTGGTCTTTAACGGTCTTTACTGGTCTTTACTGGTCTTTAACGGTCGTTATTGGTCTTTACTGGTCTTTAACGTTCTTTAATGCTCTTTACTTGTCTTTAACGATCTTTACTGGTCTTTAACATTCTTTAATGGTCTTTACTGGTCTTTACTGGTCTTTACTGGTCTTTAACGTTCTGTAATGGTCTTTACTGGTCATTACTGGTCTTTACTGGTCTTTACTGGTCGTTACTGGTCGTTAATGGTCTTTAACGTTCTTTACTGATCTTTACTGGTGTTTAGTGGTCGTTAATGATCTTTTATGGTCTTTAACGTTCTTTACTGGTCTTTAATGGTCTTTACCGTTCTGTAATGGTCTTTACTGGTCGCTAATGGTCTTTAATGGTCTTTAACGTTCTGTAATGGTCGTTACTGGTCTTTACTGGTCTTTACTGTTCTTTACTGGTCTTTACTGGTCTTTAACATTCTTTAATGGTCTTTAATGGTCTTTAACGTTCTGTAATGGTCTTTACTGGTCTTTACTGTTCTTTACTGATCTTTACTGGTCTTTAATTGTCTTTCACGTTCTTTAATGGTCTTTACTGATCTTTAACGTTCTTTAAATGGTCTTTACTGGTCTTTACTGTTCTTTACTGGTCTTTAACGTTCTTTAATAGTCTTTACTGGTCGTACTGGTCTTTACTGGTCTTCAAGAGTTAATTTGACTGGTTTCTATACTGTAGTCGCTTCTCCTCTTTCTCCACAGAAAACCCTCTGACTCTTCACATCTCTAACTCCAAACCAACACTTNCCCCTCTCAAAACCTATGCTTTCCATTTTCAAACCACCATAAACTGTGAGCAGGAACGCGGACCTGTTGCAGTTTAAAATTAGACTAAAGTGTGAGGTTTGCTCCTGAAATGTGCTTTTAAATAAATAAAATATAAAAACGCAACATTTCGAACTACAAACAAGCTCAACATAACTTTAAAGAAACACAAAATGACCGAAAAAGACATTAAAATAACAGCAAAGAGACAACATGAAAACAAATTGAGTCACAATAATCACATCACAAATTAATTACACTCAAGTGTGAGGTTTGCTGTACTTTTTAAGTGAAAGTTCAAACGACACATTTTAGCTACTTAGTTTCTTTACCGTCACAGATTGCATCGTTCTAGGTTCTACTTATTCTTTAAGGTTTTATCAAAGTTACCATCATACACTTTATTGTGGCGGTGACTAGACTAGATTTGATAGATGGTCCCACTGTCAAATAGGATTTATATACGATCTTAAAGGATTTTATTGCATATTCTGAATATTAAAATACTGAATGTCTAAATGACTACAAACAGGCTCAAAATAACTTAAAAAACCCACAAAACGACCAAAAAGAATTTAAAATAACAGCAAAGCGACAAAATGGAAACAAAGTTACTCACATTGATCACAAAAAGTCAAATTAATTACAAAGAGACCTAAAATGAAAACAAAAAGACTTGAAGTTACTAAGTAGGGACAAAAAATGATTTCAAAGACACACAAAATAACAAAGAGACACAAAATGAGTGAACAGATTGTTGAAGTATCTACAGTAAGACTTCTCGCTGCACACGTTGAAGACTTATACTGAGTATTACAGGAAGAAGTTGAAGTGTTTCCAGCAGAAGAGGACAGCTGTGTAATGTCTGTCATCGTTGATCTGATGTGATCTTCAGAGGTCAAACAGGCTGACCTTAAACACAGAACCATGCCACCAACTTCCTTCCCTGGAGGAAGCACTTTATTATTAAGGCAAAAGGAGCCATACTTCATTTTACAAATCTCTGTTACAAGAAAAAGTCCTGCATTCAAAATATATCTTTATTAAAAGTACATAATTAGTGACAATGAGTTCATCACAGCTGGTAAGGGTGGAGCTTTTTCCATAAACTAAAGATGTCAGATAATTGTAGTGAAGTAAAAAGTCTAATACTGACTTCCAAGTAAAGTATAAAGAAGCTTAAAGTGGAAATATTCAGGTAAAGAGCCTCAAAAATGTTACTTAGAATACTTACAGCTGATTGGTTGGTTGACACGCTGAGTGATGTGTTGCAGACTCACTCTGTTGGAATGTAACTTAATACATTTATTTCAGTAACATAGTGACATCACTATCAAACACTCACGCTCCTATTGGCTAGTGCTCCGACACATTGTAGGTGATCTCTAAGCGGTTGACCAATCACAACAGAGCCGGCCAGCTAACCAATCAGAGCAGACTGTTCTGGACTCTTTAAAGTAGAGACACTACATACTGATATACACCTGAACATCAGCAGGAGAGGACTCTTTAAAGTAGAGACACTACATACTGATACACACCTGATAATTAGAATAATACATCTTCTTTAAGTCAGTGGAATAACTTCTTTTTTTTAAACTGTGACGACGTTACATAAAAGTTTGGGAATAAACAAAGTCAAAAGCAGACATATGACAAAGAAATAAACGGACATATTCTCCCCTTCCTTCAACTAATGCATCCATAATTTTAAATCAAACTAAAAGGAAAAATAAAGCACTTTAACGTTAGACAATCTGAATTTGTGACTTTCTAGAGCACTTAAAGGGGAAAAACAAAAGGAATAAAAAATAAGGAGTTGCCTCCACTCAGTGACCGTCGTTAAGGAAAACGTATCAATAAAGTGTATTCTCAGAGAGGCTTTTAAAGTATGCTTTTACTACAAAAGACTCCAAACAATAATGAGGTGTTGGTCAACAGAGAAGAGGAAAATGAAATCTGTGCGGAGAAACAATCTCTGATAATGCACTGCGGAGCGTCCGTCACCAGATCCATCAGGGAGGATTTTATTAGACAACAAAAGAAGAGCCACTCGTTCCCAGAGATGCTTTTATTTACTTTAAATTAGTGTCACTATCTTAAAACCAGACTTCCTCTGAAGAAAAAATTAAATGGCATTCGTTTCTTTAAATCTAATGCGTGGTACTTTCTCCCGTCTTACAAAAAAAAATCTAATTTCAGGATTTATTAATGTGCTTAACTTCGGTATAATTGAACATTATGGATTCATTTCCACTGATTAACTTCCCGTCCTTTCTTGTATGGTTTTACATTTCCTGAACAGATTATTGTAAAGTTAATGATAGTCGTTTCTAACATAGCATTGACTATTACAAATACACAAATGTATATATTGTAATATTTGTTATTTGCCGAACAATGTGCATATTTAACTAAATTGTATTTGTTTTTCTTTTATTGAGAATTTTACTTTAATGTATGTTTCTATAAATATATGTATTTGATGTTTTTTTGCATATTTTTACTTTAACTTCTTATGTTTATTCCAATATTATTGTTATAATTATATATATATATGTGTAATCCACTGAGACCTGTTGTTATGGATAACTATTATCTATATATCTATCTAACTGTTTTGTTTTCAAAACATTAATTTGGCTTGAAATAAAGCCATTTTAAATATTCAGAATAATATATTGACTAATCACAATCAGAACTTTTGAAATCCTATTTTCTGATAGTTAAGTACAATTTGAGGTAATTCACTCAAGCATTTCCATTTTATTATACTTTATATATATTCTACTACACTACATTTTCAGAAGATAATATTGTACGTTTTCGTCCTGAATTCATTTCCCCATTTTCATTTACTTGCAGTTTATTAACAAATACAAGATATGAACACACTTACAAATGACCATACATATAACAGGAGGTTAAGATACCCAGCAGCCTCAGTATATAAATAAATTAAAAGTAGCTCCACAATCAATATTGCACTTTTTACTCGACTGCATTCATTTTTTCCACTGTCTTTACTTTTAGATTATTAGCGAATACAAGATATAAACAAACTAATAAATAAACATACACATAATTATATGTTAAGATATCCAGCAACATTAAGTATTTAAACACAGCATTGTACTTTTTACTCCACTACGTTCATTTTTTCCACTGTATTTATTTACTAGTTACTTTTAGATTATAATAAAAGGCATGAACAAACTTACAAATACATATAATTATAGTTAAAGATATCCAGCAGCAGTAGCCTACATTAAGTATTTAAACACAGCATTGCACGTGTTACTCCACTACATGTATTATAATGTAATGTATAATTATATATTACAGTATAGCCTACTTGAATAAATGTATTTTATTAAATCCCACCATGTGTAGCCTATATTTCCTATATGACCACAATGCATCTCGTGCAGTCTGATTACTGTGCATTCAAACAGCTGGAGGGGGGGGGCAGTGTCGCTCACCTTTCACTGCCGTACAGTAACACAGCCGTTTGACACGAGACAGCCCCCTAGGTGTCTCACTTTCTCAGTGTGTGTATGTTTGTATATGGGTGTGTGTGTGTGTATGTGTGTGTATGTGTGTGTGTCTGCAGCGCGAGCCGGCTGCTCGTCTGGCTCTGTGACGTCAGCGCCGTGTTGATTTGCTAAGGCGAGAGAAGAAAGGAGTTAGTGCGTGTTGAGAGAGCGGGTTTATGCGAACTGCCTTACTATGCTGTAGCCCCGCTCCCCCTGCACTATCCCGGATCAAAAAACGTGCAACTTAGGTGAGTACTAACCCGGGTTAACAGCTGCGGTTTCCCCGGTGACAAGTGCCAGGTCCGCGTCTCTGCACGCGCACACCTCTGTCTTCTCTGTGTACTTTAATTCACCATGTGCGTATTTTGATGCGTTTGAGGGGATTTTTGTTACGTTTGTCCCCGTGCAACCTCACGCTGAAGTTGAAACGCGACTTTGGCACTGAGAGTTTATCCGCGCGCCGGAGCGGCTGGAAACAAGTGTTTTTCCTGATTGCGCTGCAAGGTGTTGAAGTTTGCATTAACGTGTATTGTAGAGATGTTAAGGTTGACGTAACCCCCCCCTCCCTCCCCAACCTCTCGCTCTGTGTGTCGGTGTGGTTTAGTATGCTGGAGATCGCAGCGCGAGGACGTGAGGTCTGGTTCTTTCCCCAGCAGACAGACAACATATGACGCTCCATGTCACTCTACCGGACACATTTACACGCGTTTTCATGCGAAATTGTGCCTTTTTTAGACAGCGACACTGTTGCCTCGTCCTTGTGTCTCCACACGCACCAGTGTGGCTCATTTAGCCTTGATGACATCATGATGAGGACTCTGGTCTTTTAGCAGAAAACAAGCCCAAATACTCCCTCCGTACTGTACGGTGTGCATTGATTGACAGGCTTTGATTGGTTACTGGTAATCGATGTGCAGTAGCCGCGCGCTGTGAGGTGGGAAACTGGTAACAGATGCAATGGCCAATTGATTTGTTATCGAGACTGTCTGATCCCTCTCTTCCCCCTTTCACTCTCTTTATCCTTCCTCCGGATAATTCCTCCTTCTCATAAATGTTAAACACATTTCATTCCGCCTCAAACAAAGTCCACCTGTGCGGGAGATTCTGGCAGCTGTCTGTCTACTTTTTTTTTTTTTTTTTTTTGGAATAGCTCTCTGATTGTCTCCCTGTAGCATTTGGCGTTCTGCACATCGCTGTGTGTCTGGAATATTGAACGCTGTTTATTCGTGTTGTGGCTGGGTCGCCAAGGCGCGCGAGGCAGACAGCTCGTGATCAGATTGATTATGCTGCTTTCTGTGTGCTTATTGTCAGCGGGCTACATTGTCCTCCAGCGGGAGAAACCTCTTCTGCTTAATGCACTTAATGTACTGTGCGATGTTTTTGCATAATGCATAACGCGCTGTATAATTTGTCTCGGCAATATTAACGCTGTCTAGACGCGCCGTGCTTTTTTATTAATAGAGAGCTGGTGAAGTTCCCCCCCCCCCCAAAAAAAACAGGAACTTTACATTGTGCAGCCACAGCTTGTTGGAGCGCAACAAGTATTGATCATTTACGGGGCCATAAATCGCAGCTATTGGCATAGGCCTACCTGTAATAAAGATAATGTCTGGTTTTAGGCATGACCTCTGTGTACCCTGTGGTTTCAACATTACCTTATTTTATCGATTTTTATCAACTGTCCCCAAAAAAGCCACAGAGTATTTTAAATGCCCATCATTTTGCACATTTTGCATCATTTACAACCGCTTTGATTTAGGCTTCTGTCCTCTGGGAGTGATATTATTTCTTTTTAAGGAAAAGTCTCGATATGTCCTCCTCTTTTCAGTTTGAGTGTGTATTGTTCTCAAACGGGGCGGAAGGAAAAAGAGAAGTGCTCACAAACTTCTCTATTTGTTGGGTAAAGCAACAAAAAAAACTGCTTGGATGAAATTGAAATGAAAATAAGACTTCATTTCCAAATAGATAATGTTGATTACAAAATTGGACATCAATGAAGCTCATCCACAATGTGGGTCAATGGAGGCACTTAGCCATTCATTCATTCACCCATTCATTTAGAGTATATGAAGACTGCTTATTTAAATTGCAGCAATGAAGAGAACATTGTCTCAGTGTAGGTCATAATGACGGCTGAATGAACAGGAGACAGTCCTTCATTTAAAACACACATTTTAACTGCGTTGGTCAGAGTGTGCTGCAGATATCAAGTGAAGCAACATGTTGCTATCTAAAAGGAGTTAACACACACACACACACATACGTTTATTTGGATATTTAGCAAATGAGAGCAGGGTGTTTGTTGCTGCAGCTTTGTGTTCTGCTGCCATCCATTTCTGGCCGCTGCTCTCTGCTCTGTGATGAGAATACTGAGTAAGATGCTATTTAATTTCAGAAAGGCTGCTGACGGCCTTTGTGAACCAAGCAGCAGCAGTGGAGAAAAAACACGGTTCACACTTGTTTAACTGTGTGTACATCCCCATCAGATAACCAAATGAAGACCTCTTTTTGAACATAACATATGTCGGGGTGATTGGTATGCAGGGGAAGCCTGTTGGACGGATTGCAAATTGTCTCTCTTCAGAAATCTACAGTCAATACTCTCCGCTGATTTTGAGAACAATGCGACTGCAGAGTGTGTTTACCATCCCTGCAGGATGTTTGCAATTTGAAACTCCACTGACCTCACACATACCATTTAAGACACAAACAATGGTGGACTTTCAATACATGCATTGGCAAATTCACAACATGCTTTAGGTGCAAAATGCAATTAAAGAATCAGCCTTGTACACTTTATTTATCCACGTTGGTGAAACACAGGAGGATAATAAGAGTGAAGCAGATGATTGTTTGGGGACTTGGATTGAATTTCCTATATACATTTTTTGGGAAAAAGATTGGCTTGCAATTGCTGGATTCGAAACATAAAATTGCTTCAGCAGAACTGACTTTTCTTTCCGCTCTCCTTCCAGGTTTCATCTTGTTTACAAAGATAGCTAAAATCACGGCAGAGCGGGGAAGGCGAGCCTCATGAGTTGGCCTCGTGGCTTGCATCGACACAATGGATTTATCTAAAATGGGAATGATCCAGCTCCAGAACCCCAACCATCCCACCGGCCTCCTGCTGAAGGCCAACCAGATGCGCCTGGCGGGGACTTTGTGCGACGTGGTCATCATGGTGGACAACCAGGAGTTCCACGCTCACCGAACTGTCCTCGCCTGCACCAGCAAAATGTTCGAGATCCTCTTCCACCGCAGCAGCCAGCACTACACCCTGGACTTTCTCTCACCAAAGACTTTCCAGCAGATTCTGGAGTACGCTTACACTGCCACGCTGCAGGCCAAGGTGGAGGACCTGGACGACCTTCTCTACGCCGCGGAGATCCTGGAGATCGAGTACCTGGAAGAGCAATGCCTCAAGATCCTGGAGACCATTCAGTCCTCGGATGAGAACGACGTGGAGGTCGGAGGCAGCGCGGAGGAAGAAGACGACCGCAAAGGCCACAACGGAGCCAAAAACTCCAAAAAGCATTCCATGGAGGGGTCTTATCTGACCGGAGCCCAGCAGATGGCCATCATGACGGGAATGGTGGATCAAAGCCCGTCTGTTTCCACTTCTTTCGGCATGTCCAACCTGAGTCCCACTAAAGCTGCCGTGGACAGTCTGATGAGCATCGGACAGTCTCTGCTCCAGCAGGGCTTCGGCGGGGAACATCTGCTCCACCACGCCAACTCCAACCAGCTGATGACCGAGATCAAGACCGAGATGATGCAAGTGGACATGGGAGGCAACGGCCACGACAGCCCGCCCAACATGGAGTCCAGCGCCTCTAGCAACGGAGAGCGAATGGGCGAGGACAGGAACCGAGACGGACCGGGAACCCCGACCAGGAGCAGCGTGATCACCAGCGCCCGCGAGCTGCACTACGTCCGCGACGACCAGCAAGTTGACATGAGCCAAATGGGGCTGGAAGCAATGGCGGGGATGACGGAGAAACATCTCGCCTCGCTCTATTCCCTTCCCGTCAATCACAAATCGGACGGCCTCATGTCCATGCCGGCGGCCATGGCAGCGTCCATGGCCTCTCAACTGCCCATGTCCCCGGCCCTGGCCATGTCGATGGACTTCAGCGCCTACGGGGCTCTCCTGCCGCAGAGCTTCATCCAGAGAGAGTTCTTCAGCAAGCTGGGAGAACTGGCGGTCGGCATGAAACCGGACGGCAGGAACCAGCACGAGCGATGCAACGTGTGCGGCATAGAACTTCCAGATAACGAGGCTGTGGAGCAACACAAGTAAGACGAGTTTGATTATTTTTTTGTTGACTTGCTGCTGCTGGCTTATTATTTCATTATTAACTTGATTGCTATGAAAGGGACTGAAAGCACTTCCACAGGTGTAAGTCACTTGTTTTTCATTAGGAATCAAAAAGTACATATCTTTGGTTCCTGCTCAGTGGAGAAAACAGGAATTTAGTTGTTGAATTTTCTGCCTTTCTCAGTGGTTATGACGAGTAAATCACATTTGTATTGGTGTTAACAAGTTTGCATCGTGTCCAGCAGAAAAGCCGGTCTTCTGGCCTCACTATTTCACCTTTTTAATTAATAATGCTCATTACCATGATTGCTATGGGTAAAAAGGGACTCCATTTGAAAACTTCCACCGGTGTAAGTAACTTGTTTTTAATTAGGAATTCAAACAAATATATATTTTAAGGCTCAGTTTGAGTCAAATAGAGTAAGTTTGTTTCAGTTCTTGTTCTGCGTTTCTTAAGCTAACATCCCTAGTAAGTGACTATGACTTATTTGCAGCACAGGTAGGACACCTTTCTTTATTTTTGAGTTGCTGCTGCTGGCTTATTATTTCGACCTTGGTGCGGCTGTTTGTTTTTTCTCTAATGAATCACTTTTTTAATGGCGTTTGCAAGATTACCTCTGCAGTTTGTCTAGTAGAGAATGAAAGTCTTAAATCGTTTGGCCTCACAAATTCAGACACCTTTTTTAATAATACTTATTTACGTGATTGCTTTGGATGAAAGGAACTCAATTATAAGGTTTCCCTCATGGGAAGACACCTGCTGTTTACTTAGGAATGAAAAAGTACAGCTTTTAAAGACATGGTTAGTGGAGAATAGATGGAATTGGTTGGTTTTGTTTTTTGCCTTTCACCAATTTTGCACGTCAGTGATCATGACGAGTAAATCAAATGTTTATTCGTGTTTGAAATGTAAGTCTTTTGGCCTTAACATTTCCTAACACCTTTTTAATCATCATTAAAATATTAACATGATTGCTTTAGGTGAAAGGGACTCCACAAGTGTAAGTCAATTGTCATTCATTAGGAATTAAAAAGTACATCTTTTTGGTGCATGCTGAGTGTAGAAAACAGTAATTTAGTTGGTACATTTTCTGCCTATCTCAGTGATTATGACGAGTAAATCAAATTTGTATTGTATTAACAAGTTTTCATCGTGTCCACCAGAAAGGAAAGTCTTTTGTCCTCAGAACACCTTTTGAATTGATTGCTCGTTAACATGATTGCTTAGGGTGAAAGGGACTCAGTCACTTGTTTTCCATTGGGAATTAAATGTGTATATATATTTTTAAGGCTCAGTTAGTGTCAAATAGAGTACGTTTGTTCTTTCTTTTTCTGTGTTTCTTAAGCTGATGCTCCTAGTCAGTGACTATGACAAGTATAAAATCACCCGACCACACACATGCAAGGTATAACTAAGTGTCCTCTGTTGATGGACACACGCCTTATTTCTGTGTGGCTCAGACTCGGAGCTGCCTCCAAACCAAAAAGCCGGCTCAGGTGACTGTTGTCGTAACATTGTCAAAGCCCATTAGTCACGCCTTACAAGAGGTGGGCGGCAGCTATCACACACACTCACCAAAGTGGTTCCCCCTCATACTGGGACCGAATCCCCTCCCCTTTTCCCATAACTCACGCAAAGAGGTGGGCCTTTTATTAGCTCGATCATTAGAGCAGACGGGTCAGCCCAGGAGATGAGAGCTGAACCCCGGCTCTGAGACTCCGAGGTGGTTCCAGGACAGAAGAGATCAGTGCAGATCAATGCATCTGAATAAACAGAATACTCACCTGCAGATATTCTTAAGAATTGCATTTGGTAACAAGCACCTTGAGGAATTCACTTGCGTCACTTCTTTGTGGATATTGCACAGTCAGTGTTTCTGTGAGCGCAGGCCTTTTTACTCACTGGAAGGCCACCTTTTCACCCTGTAATGTTTGCTTGAATCAATAGGAATGCACAGTGTTTAAAGTTCACTTGAGGATTTGAATCACCATGCTCTCACACTCGAGCCAGCGTCTTGGTATGCCTTGTCCTTTGAATCTGTCTCAGTGTTGTCTGTATAATGAATATTACAGAATAGCTTTTGCACTCTGAGGAGATGTGACCTTACAGCGATTATTGTGCGGTGTTTCTGTTCGTACTGAATTTCATACAAGCGGTGGAATCAGAGACTTTGTAGTTTTGGTACAAATCTGTGTGGCCTTCATGATGAGTGCTTATTATTCTGGGGATAAAAGAGGAATTTGTTCATGGTTTGATACTATGTGCCCTTTTAAAAAGAAACCGACAACTATAGAAGCATATTTAGTGCTTTTGTATCACTTCTTCCTAAACACCAACTTTAACATGCACTAAAGCTTCCTCTGTAACGTAGTCTCCCTGTGTTTTTAAAGGACCGGCTTACAATAGTCTGTCTTGAGAAAAAGTCTGGCGTGTGAAATGGTTGCCTGTGTTTCAAGAGGAATTTCATCAATTCGCTCAAGCTGGGAAATCTTGTATCAAAGGAGATTTCCAAACCGTTTCATGCATTGATCTTCCCGCTTCTCCCCTAGCATGCTAATGGGTTAATTTAGGCTGGTTGATACACCGACACGACACTGTTTAATATTGTACGCGCTATCCTGACAGCCTCCTGAAGTGTAGAAATCAAACATTGCATCATTCGCTGTCTGCACATGAAAGGTCCGCTGTGAGAAGCTTGATAATTCAGACGATCCTCGTGTCCTCACAGATTCCAATGTGGGTCATTTGATAGCACATCAACTAGTCTTTTGCTTGTGTTTCTATACCGGTCACCTGGTTATTTTTGATGTTTTCACCAGTCGTGGTAACTCGGACTAATTACACATCACTCCCCCAACAGCCACTGAGTCAGGGTCACCGCCGCCTCGACAACACACACATAAAAAAAGTGGGCAGAGTTCACTTGGTGCAGGCAGGTCAAGTCAAACATCAGTGTAATTGTTTCCAGATGTGGCATGGGGTCATTGGTGTGAGGTGTCTATGTTAAAATGAACGTACCAGAAAGTACCCACTTCCTGTCTGAATTGAAGTCTCTGCTGCCTTTCATTCCTCCGTGCCCTGGATTGTATCATAAAGAAACACCCAGACTGAATGCATTGTGCAAAGGCTCCACAAGTGGTGTGTGTGGGACGGGGTGCAGACATATATTCAGGGGGGTAGGACTGGGTATTGTGACCTTAACACTTAGTGATTACCCGTCTTGTCAGATTCATAATTTTTAGCTTTCTCTTTCATCAAAATGGTCCAAAAATATACACATTTTTGTTTATTTACGTAAAGTTAGTGTGTGCTTGGAGAAAGTGACCTTTTTAAAGCTATCGATGAGATATCTTCTTTTCTGGCATCAGTTGTGAAACCCAGGTATTGTATTGGCTGTAGTATTTGCACGGTAGCTTAATGCAAGGCCATGATTTACAGCTACGATGAATACTTACTAATTATAAGGAAACTAGGCAATGTGGCATGTGAGGGATGGAAGAAGGAGAAATATACACGCAGAAGATGTGCTATCTTGAAGCAGGAATGAGTATCATAACTTCAGCACTTTTACAGATACAAAATATTCAGTCCTTGAACGTCTCGTTTGTCTGCTTGTATTTATATTAAAAAAAGGTATAAAAGAAATGTTTTTCAGGTATAATTAAAGAAACAAATGTACCGTATTGGAACTAGTATTTTTCTTGTAGCCTTTTGAAAGGCCATGTATTATAGCTACCATAAAAATAGTGATTTCTAAGGAATCTTAGCAATGTGAGTGAACAGTATCTTGAAGAAGGACTGAGTATCCTAACCTTCACACTTTCCGTACGGATAAAAAGCCTTCAGTCCTTGAACGTCTTTTAAAAACGCAATTTTTTCTTTTTTCTTTGATCATATCAAACATGTGTATACGTCGGTAAATTCATGGCTGCTTGTGTTAATATTGTAGAACTTTGGCTTCTGTTTGGTATCAAAGACGTGTTTTTCTGGTATCAGTGATGCACCTTTTGGACCTAGTATTTATTGCAGCTTAATGATAGGCCATGCATCACAGCTAGCATACATGTGGACTGCTTCTAAGGAATCTAAGCAATCCCGTCTGACCACAACAACTTTCCCCCCCCCCATCTTTCCTCCAGCAGTCCAACCTCCTCCCCCCCCCTTGACAAGCCGGGGATTTATTCCTGAAAGGAAGGCAGGGTGACTGCTGTTACTGCTGCAGGGAGACAGGATTACAGCAATATTTTAGTAACCCTTGCTCTGAGAAAATAATCAACCTCAGGAAAGGGCCTGAGTGATTATTGGGGAAATAAATGCACGATGCACGGGGCTAATTCTGCCGTGGCGAGGGGGAAAGGAAAAGAAAAAAGGCTCCGCTGCTTGGTATTCCAAACACAACATCCAATTCACGGGAACTAGCCTTGGGTTTATCTCTTTCACTTAATCGTCCATTCTCATGCAAATGACTGACCCTCGCTGTAATGTACATCACATAAGTGAAAAAAGAGAATATTTTAAATGAGAGCTTTTCCAGCATATAGCCGTTAAACATTAGTGATAACCATCAAAGCTGTCTTTTTCGTAATGCAGCCTGAAGGGAGAGGAGGGGGAACATGATGCCAATAAATTCCTGCCTCTAATCTTCGCTATTTTTAGTAGTGATGGATCTATTGGGGTACAAGGTGGGAGTGATGGAAATAATCACCCCTGCATTAACCTCGGCACACGCACTCTGTTTTTTTTTACACACAGCAGCAGCCAGCGCTCGCTCTTCCATTTCCTCTCCTTTTGTGGTAGAGGGGTTTCGGAGGGTCTAATACCTCGGGGCCCAGGTGTTTAAACAGTGGGCCCAAGGCTCTTATCTGTGCATATCAGAGAGGGACAGATAACCCCTGGCAGTCCTCCTCAGTAAACCAAGAGCAGATTCACCCAGATAGCGGGGCCATAGTGGTGGTTGCAGGTGATAACCATGTACACACAC